CACATACATAAACATTCATTTTCTCTCAATTTCTCCTTTTTTTTCCAACAACAACCACGAGAGAGGTGAAAAAAATAGGGGAATGGAAAGGTAAACAAGAGAAAGATAAAAATAATGACAATGAGAATGACGATGAAGATGACGATGAAGATGACGATGAAGAACCTAACGACGATGAGAAGGACGATGACGGTGGCCTGTTTTATGCGGACGCTATGTGTTGGGAGACTTGTGAGATCAATACGTACTCCAGTTTTCCTCCTCTCCTCCGCTCACTTTCTCTCTCTCTCTCTCTCTCATCGACTCTACCACCCCTAACCGTCCGCACCACCCTCTAGCTGCCTTCACCAAAACCCAACCAGCTTTTCAGACCTTTCTCTTCCCCGGTATGTTCTCTCCCTCCTAACTGCACCCGTACTGCTCTTTCTCTCCCACTAATTCTCTCTCTCTCTCTTTTCTAAGCTCCATCTTTAGGCCGTTCTCCAAGCGACCCTAATCGACCTACAGAAGGACCTACAGTTACTCCCTTTTCTCTTTATCTCTGTCTCTCTTTCTGTTTCTATCCATTTCTTTTTCCCTCTTTTTTTTCCTATGGAACCCTTGGTAAAGATTTATTACCGTTATTATTTTAACACCCTTCGAATCATTCCAAGGCGCCGCCGCGTCTTACTCGAAACGTGACGAATTCGAAGAAATACTCTAATTCAAATGAAAATTCTCTTTCTTTCTTTCTTTTTCTATCTATTTATCTATCTATCTATTTACATATTTATTTATCTATCTATCTATGTTATTTTTGTTTTCTTTAGTTCTTCTCTGTTAGAGTGTAAAATGTTGATTATGGCAAGAGAAGTTGCACGCCTTCGAAAAAAGGGGGAGAAAAAATGGTGAACTCGTGTAAAAGAAAAAAAAAAAAAGAAAAAAGGAGGGAAGTTCGAGAGGACCAGAAAGAAGAAAAAAAAAGGGATGAACGAGGAGGGTTTGCTACCTCTTCTATGAGAGAGGGGGAAAGGAGAGAGAGAGAGAGAGAGAGAGAAAGAGAGAGGTGGATGAGAAGGGTAAAGGAGAAGAGAAGGGTAGTGGGACGGATCGGCCTCGAGAAGATATCAGAAGCGTTTAACCCTCGAGAGGAAGATATATAGGAACAAAAGGCTGGGTCGAGTGTCGTCGGATGCGAAAAGCGGATTGCACTTGCTTCCTTCTACGTTTCGAGAAAAATTATATCAAATATATCTATCTTTTAACTAAAACTAATCTCTAATTGATTTTATAAAATTAATTGTATATTATAAGGGGGATATAAAAGTCATTTTGAAAATCGTCATATGTATAAACGAATTTGTTTTTTAATTATCCGATGATCTTTTCATCATCGGATTAAAGTCGAACGATTTTTTTTTTGATCTTTTCAGTGCAGGATCTCGATCTCGAAGAAATCACAATCAAAATGAAATAAATCCAATTAAAGGACCCCAAAATTATTATTTACACAACTAATTTTATTAAATATTATTTCATGCTTAAATGAATTTTCAATTGAATGGGAAAAAGAATAGAAAGCAACGAGGTAAAGTTTTTTTTTTTTCATAATCTACCGAATTGTTAACAAGATCGAAAATGATTTGATGAAAAAAAGGAAACTCAAAGCATCATATCCATCTTAACGCATATATATATATGTCGTTAACGAGTCTACTAATCGGCTTTATTTCGCCACCAACAAACATTCGCCGACCAAAGACTATTTTGGTCGGCTTTTGCGTATCCTATCAGATAAGTGTTATTGCTAATTGAAAGGAAAACACATCTACGGATAATTATCACCCAACTACGAATTACATTGAAAATTATTTCTATTAATAGTACTGAACGTGATCATTTTTCCAGGACATATTTCAATTTAATGAGAAACTCTAATTGTAACTATAATATTTAAATAACTAATATATTTCATTTTTTATATTTGTTCAAGGTCGTTGATGATTTGAAGGTAAAGCATAACAAAAATACGTACCACCGGGTTCCAAATTCCTTTTTACGAGCACCGTACACCAATCGCAGGTACAAATTTTCTATTCTCGACGGGTTTAGGTGAAGGTTTGGCTAGGTGGTTGCGAAGGTAGGTTTGGGATTTTCTATCGAGAAAATTTCACTCGAGATTTCGTATAGGAATAGGAGAGGGAGAGAATCAATCTTCGGTTACAATCGCCTGAGCTGGTAAAATATGGCGTGGCTTAGCCGTCGATAATCTTTTCGATTATTCGCGATAAAAATCGTGTATTTTATTTTTTTTTCTTTCCTTTCTATTTATTTGTTCTTTTTTTTATTTTTTATTTTTTTTTTTTTTTAGCGTCTAATGACATCGTATCGTCAAACCAAAGTTCTTGGATGTGGGAGGAGAAAAGTAGAAAAAAGAAGAAAAAAGAAAAGAAAAAGAAGAAAAAAAGAAAGAAGAACCGTCATCTATATATATACATATATATATATACATACATATATATATATATATATATATATATATATATATATATATATATATATATATATCATTTATGTTATTATCTAAAAAACATGGAACATAGTTCGTTTTAAATGGCGCACCGATTATTCGCGGCCATCATTATTTTCCCATTATTTCGTATTTCTCCAATATAACATTTCATATATTCGCAATATCTTCTATTTCCTCTCTTAACATTTTAAGAGGACGAAAAGGCATTTTACCTATTTCTTTCTTTTAATATTCAAGAACGAATCATTAGATTAAGATCGTGAATATGGGGGTTGTTTATGGCTGAAACTTACGACCTCTCGCTCGCTCGCTTGCTTGGCTTACTTGCTTGCTTTTCTATTTTTCATTTCGATTCTTTTTTTTCTTTTCATTTTATTTTTTTTTTCACTCCTCTCCATCGAGATACGTAAGTAAGTAGGTACACGATCAATCGTCCACTCACCAAACAGCTAATAAATAACATTATAGTCGACCTACATTGCGTGACCGACTTTTGAATAGGTTGTTCTCATTTTCTTTCTATCTTTATTTTTTTCTTTTTTTCATTCTTTCTTTTTTTTTTTTTTTTTTTTTTTTTACTTCTTCCCCCTTTTTTACTCTCACAATCAGCCTATTTCACGCGTTACTACTGAAATCGAACGTCCCTGACTATTTCGGACGATTCCATTCTACGCGAGGCCATCTCAAACTGAGAACGAGTCAGCAGTATCTCCGTTTATCTCGTGAGAATATCAGAGAGACTGAAAGAGAGAGAGAGAGAGAGAGAGAGGGAGAGAAACAAAAAAGTTGGGTAAACAGAATTAAAAAAAAAAAAAGAAATAAGTTAGAAATAAGAAGTTTACAAATAATAATCTCTCAAGAGAAAAGAGAAAAAAGAAAATAAAATAAAAATGAGAGGTCGAAGAAAGTTTGCAATAAATAAAAAAAGAAAGAAAGAAAGAAAGAAAGAAAGAAAGAAAGAAAGAAAGAGAACAAGAAAAAAGAAAGTGAGAAAAAGAGTGTGGGAGATAGAATGGAATGTTTGATTCGTCAAATGGTTCTATCTGGTTCTACCTGTATTTTTTATAACATTAACGATAACCGCAACCGGACGCCATTATTTAAACACAAGAAAAATTTACGCAACCGAAATGAGAAAAAGAAAAATGTTTCACCTTGTTTTCGTCTAATTTTCTTTTTTCTCATATTTTCTCTTCTCGATTATTTCAAAGAAAAAGAAGCACAGCTGCGTGAAATTCGTTTCCAGACGATGAACAAATTTGTGCGTATCTCACAATCTGTGATATTTGATGATGTTTAAAAGTTTCGTTTCAACCGTTGTTACAATTTTTATTTCCTCTTTTTTTCTCTCACTCTCACTCTCTCTCTCTCTCTTTCTCTTTCTCTTTCTCTCAAATATCTTTTCATCAACATTCTTACACTCACAAGCATAACCAACTAAAACGAATATTCTTTGTTTTTCACTCATTAAATTAATTGTAAAGTTCTCCAAAGCGTGCACCACGAGGTAGACGATGGTATTTGCCAATGGCGCGAACATTAATTTTCCTCTTTCGTTTCCTATTTTTTTTCTTCTTTTTCTTCCCTGTTTCCCCCACCCTTTACGTATTTTGAACGAAAATAAATTTTACTCGAGAAGTTAACTTTTACCGATAACAAAATCAAAAATTCTTTTTTTCTATTTTATCAATGCGAAAGAAGAAACGGTTAAAGAATAATAGAAAAAAAAAAAAATAATAATAAAAAAAGAAGAAAGAAAATAGAAAAATTAAATACTAAAATAAGGAGTCTTTTTCTTTTTTTTAAATGCAAAAATAAAACGAGAATTCTTCGCGCTTCTCTTCACTTTTCCCACCTCTCGAGACTCTTACGTAACGCATCTCTTTCTCTCTCACTCTATCTTTCTATTTTTCTTTCTTGTTTTTTTAAATAAAGTGATCAAAAACAACAGAAGTCTGCTTTCGAGAGGTAGGAAAAATTGCGATGAAGGAAGAACGTAGAAAGGAGATACGCTTATGTTTTTACTTTCCCCCTTTTACCTTTCTTTCTTTCTTTCTTTTTATCCTCGCTTCATGATACTCTAATATAAACAGAGAAACGGCCGTAGATTTTCTATTCACCTTTCTCTCTCTCTCTCTCTCTCTCTCTCTCTCTCTCTCTATCTGTCTACGTTTCACTCATTCTCTAACTCTTATTCTTTCTCCTCATCCCTATTTTGCACACACAAACACAAACAAACATTTACACGTTCCTTCCGTCGTACTAAATCCTTTTTGTGTCTTGTTGAGACGCATAATCTCTCTACAATCTGTTATTTCTTCTCACATATCACATAGACTCTCGTATTCTCATATTTTTAAACTCTTTCTTTCTTTCTTACTCTCTCTCTTTCTCTCTCTCTCTCTCTCTCTTTCTCTCTCTTTCTCTCTCTTTCATTCGTCATTCACACTCACGCATTTTCTCTTCATTTTTTCCTCGTCTCGTATAGTTAAGTATCTATATTTAAATATAATAATTATTATATTATAGTAATGTCTAAACGAACACATATTATATCTCGATATAACATCGTACTTATTTATTTCTTCATTATTTTCATTTTCTCCGTTTCGATCTCCTCTTCATCGAGAAAACTATCTACCTATACTGTTTATTTTTTTTCTCAAAATGTTGTCTCTTAATTCATTTATACGTGTGTTTGTGTGTCCATCACTGTACCGTGTCCTTTTTCCTTCTCCCTTTACCTTACTCTCTCTCTCTCACTCTCTCTCTCTCTCTCTCTCTCTCTCTCTCTCGTTCTCACACACACTCTTTCGTCCTTTCTTATTTTTTCCCTGGTATTTCATTTTTGTTGTATTCTCCTTCCGGTTTTCTTGATCCTTTTCTTCTCATTTCCATATACTCTTCTTCTTCGTCCACTTTGTCCTCTTCATCCTCTTCTCACTTTTTCTTAATGTTCTAACAACAGATCCTCATTTCTTGGCGAGTCGTCACTCCGTGAGTGCTTTTGTGTATGCGAAATGGTGTACAATAAATAGTAAACGTATCGTTATCAATCTATCATTACGTTAACGTTACTTATTCATTCTCCTTTTTTTGTTTTATTTAAATCGTTATTTCATCATATTAATCACTATTATTATTATTTCATTATTTTTTCCGTTCATCGTTTATTTTCTCTCCTCTTTATCATTATCTTTATCTTATACTTTTTTTTTTCACCATTGCCATTATCATCGCTACCATTTATATATATATATATATATAGTCATCACTATAACCGTTCATAATCATTTTCATTCTTGTCTCGCATTCCAATTCATTATCGATCTTTATTTATCGTAATCGAACGTTATCGTCGATCATCGATCATAAACATCATAATAATTATTATAATCTTCATTAATAATATCATCAATTATCATCATCATTATCATAATCATTATCAACTTCTTCTTTGTCATCATCATCTCCATTATCTTCATTATCATCTCTCCATCATATTGATCATAATTATCTTCATCATCTTCATTATCATCATAATTTAATTTAATTTAATTATTTGTTAACTAATATTAATTTCATTATTATTTTATTTTGTTTTTTTTTTATATTTATTTATTTAATTATTTATTTATTTTATTATTATTGTATTATTGTTATCATTATTATTAAAGTTAGACGTAACGTTAGTTGCCAAATAGACAATAACGACCATCTTCTCGGTTCTTCTTACTTAACGCGTACCCATCATAGTCGCGTTGATAAAGTCCTAACTCGTCTTCGTCCTATAGCTCGCTAACGACTACAAGGTCCTGCCTCGTCCTTTGGCCTTTTGCGAACACACGGAGGGGGAAATGGGAGAAATTGGTGAGAATGTTGGAGAAAATGGATAATTGTCATGTTGGAATAATAATCGTGAACGATTTCTCGTCCTCGTGTGGGTCCTCTCGTTCGTTGGACGAAGACGAGATGGAGGTGGGGATAGAGGAAACGGTAAGAAATAAAGTACGTTCCCTTTAGGCTCTTTTGCCACGGAACTAAATTCAAGTAAGAAAATTCTTCTTTCCATCTCCAACGACAACGGCCACGACGGGGTTCGAGCTTGTAACGACGCCGTCTATGGCGAGGCCGACGACGGGATTCCCGTTCCTTCGTCGTCATTTTGTTACTACGAATGATCTCAAGGACGACGTGGACGACGACTACGTGAATAACGACGACGACGACGACGTTTACGACGATCGGGAGGAGTTCGATTCTTTTTTTACCCTCGTACTCCCGCCGAATTCTTTTCTTCTTTCTACGTTTCCTCCATGAACTCCACCAACAACACCATCCTTTCCACCAAACTTCATACCACTCTTTCTTCTTTTTCTTTTTTTTCTTCTTCTTTTCTTCTACCTTTCCCTCCTTCTTCAAATTATTATTATTATTATTATTATTATTATTATTATTATTATTATTATTGTTATTATTATTATTATCACCTTCTTTTTTCTTATTCTTCTTATCCAGATAGATGGTCAACTTCGATGACAACGATGAACACCACCATCGAAAACAGGACGAGCCTGAACGAGAACGAGGTCGAATCTCCTCGATCGATCGCATTTTGCCTCCTCTTCCTTCTCTTTCTCTTCCTTCTCCTCCAACGGCTCCTCCTTCTCGTCCTCTTTCTCCACCTCTTCTTCCTCCTCCTTCGTCTTCTTCACTTCCTCCACTTCCAACGACAATGAAAACGACGACAACAACGACGAAGGACGCAAATCCACGTCCCGAATACAGGACGCTTTGAATGGACACGATCATCGACGAAAAACTCCTCAACAACAGGCACGACCACCAAAAAATTTGAATAATGATCGATGACAGGCAAAGATACGGCAACACGTAAGAAGCCGTAACTCGATTCGATGAACTCGAAGTCATCGAGCCGACTCCACCACTGCCGCATAATGATGTACTCTGATGTTGTTGTTGTTGTTGTTGATCAAGCCCAACCATTGGGGAGATTGTTGACGTTGAATCGGATTCGATGTCCTGGCCATCCGTGGACATTGGCCATTCTGCTGCTTTCTCCTCACCTATGAATCACAAATGTTTCTTCGTCCAATAATACCTGGCTCCTATTTTTTAATTCGATTTAAAAAAATTTTATTACGATTCGAGATTTATTGATTTTACAATGAATCTGATCGTAATTTAAACTGTAGTAAGAATCAATGTTAAATAAGTTTTACAAGAAAATTTATTACGTGTACAAACAATGGTCCTTTAATCCATCGATCTTACTCTATTAATTAGCTAATTGGTAAATTATTTATTAGCAAGTTAATGTGTTATTATTATTATTATTATTATTATTTAAACGGACATTAAATAAGTTATTTTTTGAGATCAGATTTTGTATGTTTTACTATTGACATTAATGCTGGAGATTGTTCAAGATTCAATATGAATATGTAGAAAAAAAAATTATGTGATAGAGCAGAGAAGAAAGATTCGGACGATTGCTTGGTTAAATAAATAAAATACACGTGGGAAGATGCAGACGACTTCGACGTACCTGCAGAGTCCGATTGAATAGGTGTAATGTCGCAGTGGGGTGCCGTAGGAGGATCGCGTTCTATACCTATTTTACGTAGCTCGCGACTAGTGCAATTCGCACAGATCCCCAAGCCTACCTCATCCTCAGAGCACACGTGGTAACAGCATTCTCGTTCGTCACTGCTGTGCAGCGCCCTCAGAGCTTGTTCTCCCGTTTCGGGTATGTTTGGGTCTGAAAAGAGGTTTTTTCATCCAACCACATCTTATATTATCTTGTTATCTCATTCCCATTTATCTTCGTTAAAAACAATATATCCTGTTTTTCCCTACGTATGTATGTATGTATGGAAGATGAAGATATTCGTTTTGATTGCGTCTAATTTTTTTTAGTTTCTTTTTATTTTTCACTGTTTTTCAGTAATATTGAAAAGTTTTGCGATCATATTCAACGATATTTTTCCCCCCGTGGAACTCACTCTAATTGATTTGACGTATTTAAGTGATTTTAAGTGTTCAAGTGATTTGATTCTATTTTATAACAGGAGGGTGCCAAAAATACTTTTACCCTTTCCCAGTATTTGGAGAAAAATAAATGTAAAGGGGTTTTTGTGAAGAGGGGTGAAACTAACTAACACGAGCTAAAAATACATCGTGTCGAATGAAAAGTAATGAATAATATTTTTTTGTCTCTACTTTTTCTTTTTTTTTTTTCATCAAGAGAGAGAAATTCGTTAAAATAACACGTATTTCGGAGAAAAGTCTAGGGGATATATATCGATGAAATAACATTACGTGGAATATGATTTCCGTTTGAAAATAAATGACGGAAAATAAAAAATGGCGAAGTACCTCTGCAAAGAAAGGTAGGTTCGCCGGCATATTGCGTAGGGTACGCAGGGGCACGGTCACCCGGAAGCATATAAGGACAACGTTGTTCCACGGACTGGCAGAGGGACATACACGGTCTTATCCTAGTCCAATCGTTCTCCGAGAACTTTAAGTCCGGCGGTCCGCTGTGATGAAAGTAAGGCACCAGGGCGCTGCACGTCCATATTCTATACACTTCCTGAAAGCAGAAAAAAAAAATAATGACGAGGATGTTAGCTTTATATAATATATGTTTTTTTTTAGATAAGAGCAGTGTATTATATGAGTTGCATATTCAAGTCACGTATAATATCAAAATATAGGGCCATATGATGGCATACTTCCTTTCAAATTAAACTATCTCATTATGTTTGATTTATATTCACGGTAACTATATTGAAAAGAAGGAAGATCGTAATTAAAGAACGGCAAAAACAACGATGACATTAGGAGCTCTTCTTTCCTTCCTTCTTATCCTTCTTCGTTTCTTCCCATGGGAAGAAAAAGACCGTCTCTTCCTTTGCCATTTTTCGGGGGGGGGATAGCAACCCCTGACAAATCAGTCGTCTTCGTAGTAAGGTGGGTCAGTGTTTGACCTACATATTCATTAAACCTGCCCACTCTTGTATATTCTATAAGAATCAGCTATAATTACACATCGACTTCAGGATAGAACCTTCCATCGATGATACGAGATTCTCGAGTTTCCCTCAACGAGCTTTTTTTTTCTCCTTCCTTCGGCCTACACACCCACCGAGATATCTATTATCTACTTTTGCCTTTCTTTTTATTTTTCTTGTAGGAAGAACGGTTTATTAAATTTGACCCGTATGATCCGTGCATGCTTAGACGATATAGAAAAAAAAGACGAAGGATAAAGCCGGATAAAAAAGTACGCGGATGAGAAAAGTTTTCCTGCTATCATGATACAACAGCCACTAACTTGAAAGATACTCTCAATTATGATTGTATATCGTTGACAATTTTAGAATTCAAACAGTAATTTCAAGAAATTAAACAATAAGTTAATCTCTTCAATACATCTGACCAAACTTCATTGCTTTACAGATATACGTTTCAGCAATGATTGACTTCGCTACTTGTATGTATGTCTAACCAACGATTGACTTTACTACTTGTCGTTTGACTACTACGTTTGACTCGAACTTTAGACTTTATTACTTTGCACGTAGGTCTCACCAACGACCGACTTTACTACTTGCTGCTACGTCTAACCAACAATTGACTTTACTACTTCGTCGATACGTCTGACTGAACTATTGAATTCATTGCGGGTATGTCTGAGAAACGATTGACTGAACTACTTTGCATATACCTACCATTACTATCGGATAATTAGCTCGACTACTTATTAATCGACATGTCCGACTTATAGGAGTTTCTATTATCGGATAGTTTGTTAATTTAAACGTCGACACAGATCCTATTTCTCATGAATTCCATCGCTTAATTGACGTGTATCCGTTTATCCATAGCTATCATATTTCTTATAAATATGGCATGTTCTTTATACGTGTTCTACTTTTATTTCTTTTTTTTCATTCTATTTTATTTTATTTTATATTTTACTTTTCTTTATTTTATTTTATTTATCATCTTTTTGATACATTTGTAGCCGTAATCGAATGCTCTTTATCGAGTTATCAACCCAATAATCCAGTCCATCTCATATTACCATCACCGGCCACGCATATATATAT